GAGACATCTCAGCATTCGTGCAGCACGCGAGAATGCAACATGGTGCTTAGAGACATCTCAGCATTCGTGCAGCACACGAGAATGCAACATGGTGCTTAGAGACATCTCAGCATTCGTGGAGCACACGAGAATACAACATGGTGCTTAGAGAAATATCAGCATTTGTGGAGCACGCGAGAATGCAACATGGTGCTTGGAGACAACTCAGCATTCGTGGAGCACACGAGAATGCAACATGGTGCTTGGAGAAATCTCAGCATTTGTGGAGCACGCGAGAATGCAACATGGTGCTTGGAGACAACTTAGCATTCGTGGAGCACGCGAGAATGCAACATGGTGCTTAGAGACATCTCAGCATTCGTGGAGCACACGAGAATGCAACATGGTGCTTAGAGACATCTAAGCATTCGTGGAGCACACGAGAATGCAACATGGTGCTTAGAGACATCTCAGCATTCGTGGAGCACACGAGAATGCAACATGGTGCTTAGAGAAATATCAGCATTTGTGGAGCACGCGAGAATGCAACATGGTGCTTGGAGACAACTCAGCATTCGTGGAGCACACGAGAATGCAACATGGTGCTTGGAGAAATATCAGCATTTGTGGAGCACGCGAGAATGCAACATGGTGCTTGGAGACAACTCAGCATTTGTGGAGCACGCGAGAATGCAACATGGAGCTTGGAGGCAACTTAGCATTTGTGGAGCAAACGAGAATGCAACCTGGTGCTTGGAGACAACGTAGCATTCGTGGAGCACACGAGAATGCAACATGGTGCTTAGAGACAACTTAGCATTTGTGGAGCACACGAGAATGCAACATGGTATTTGGAGACAACTCAGCATTTGTGGAGCACACGAGAAGATAACATATTTTCGAGCCTGTGGTTTTGCATGAAAGCGCAAAATAATATACAGAGAAATGACATCTGTTTTCGACAGAAGGAGGACTCAAAGAATATTGACAAATACACTAAACGCGTGAAAGTAAAACATGAAAACTTTGGTAAAATTATGGATTTTTTAATGACAGTTTGGATTTGAGAGTCCTTGGTATTCGAAAGAAAAATGCAAAATCACAACATGAGAGATGTATATTTAAGTAATACGGCGGGGGAGAACAAGAAGAAGTAGACACCACCATAAAATTAAGAACAACGGAAGACTTATTACCGGTAACTGAGTCAATTAACCATCAAAGAATCAGATGGTTTGGTCCCCAGCTCCGAGCGCAATAAAATCAGCCAGCTCCTAGAAAATTCTGCATGAGAACAGCAGGCCGACCAAGAAAGATACGGACGGAGAGAGTAACCAAGTATGACACAACACAAGTGACGCTACCAGCAAAAGAGGAAGCCAAACTCCTCTCTGCGACTCTTTAGGGTACAAGCAGCAGGACAGAAGACGAGAAGAAACAAGACATGCAGTCTGTGGTGGTTAATTGTTCAGACAGGATCTTTTACATTAGTTCAGAAATCATTTTGAGGATTGTTTTACAAACTGTGTTGTTCATTTCTCAAGTGGGAATTGTAATAATGAGATAGAATAGAGCTGTAAACTAATTTCTATGAGGTAGAATAGAGCTGTAACCTACTTTATTTGAGGTAGAATTGAGCTGTAACCTACTTTCTATGAGATAGAATAAAGCTGTAATCTAATTTCTATCCCTTTCGGTGTATTGTCCCCACAATTGAAACAAATTATTTATCTTACCATATTTGAGTAAATTCAGAGGGGACAATAAGTGTATTTAAATATTCAACTTTAAAATTACCTTCTAACAATTAACTAAAACAGACTCTAACATATATAAACACAATCTGAACACTTCAAAGCTTACTGGGAGACTGAGCAGTTGTTTTCTGCTCGGAGTGCAGTCATATCGGTCGCTAAGGACACCATATAGATAACTTGGAAACCATATGCAATGACATTTGTCATCAAATCACTGTTTCACAATATTTCCGTAAGGCATGATGTAAACAGCAGCATTTTGTGTTGATAAACAGTACTTGACCAGCCTGTAAGACCATCGTCATTGTCAACATCATTATCTTCTTCTTCTCCTTCTCTCCTTCTTCTTCTTTACCCCCTCCTCCTTCTTCCTCTTCATCCTCCATCTCCTTCATTCCAACCCCTACCCCATTACCACCACTATCAAATCAGTTCCTCTGATATTTGTCAGAAACTGACTTAGCTAATTATATTCCCAATTTAAGTTTTCTAAAATAAAAGAGTTCCTATTTTTTGCGTTATTTTGTTCACGGTATAAATCTTGCTTACTGTACACACACACTAAAACAAAAACATAAAAAAAAAAAAAAAAAAGAAACAAGAGATAAATCTTAATTAAGGCAGTGAATGCTTGATGTGGCAGAATCGCAGCAGAAACCTGTGATCTGCTTGAGACAAACACAGAAGAGTTATAGATTATGTTATCACAGCAGCAAACCCAATAATAACGTTATTACGTGACTCAAGCGAGTCGGTAACTTTGTAGATATAGGAGTTCATCTACTTCAGATAACCGTTATTTCCTTACATAAATTTGATTTGATTTGATTGGATTTGATTTGATTTGATCGAAGAACGGACATCACAGCACTCGGGGCATTCCCATAAGCACCCGTCCCCATCTTCAGCACCCAGCAAAGAGTTCTGATACTAATGCTGTCATTAGCATTCTGATTAAACGTCCGTCTTGCCTTTCCTCTGAGCTCGAGCCTCTGCCAGAACCTCTCGTCACTTCCCGCTGCATCAATCTCACCAGACTGTGGTGATCCATCTGCTCCTCCGAATGGTACACGCTTTCCAACAAGGTACTAACCACGTCTGTCTTATCATGTATCAGTATTCCACCAATCTTATCAGAGCCAGGCAGTCTGTCAGTCGGTTCATTTCCCAACACACTGGCGAGCCCCGATACAAAAAATCCAGACAATACTCCTCACCCATGTCCTCTGCAGCGAAGCATACCTGTCCTGATCTTCCTCAGCATGCTTTCTGAGTCAGCTACAATCACGATGTGTGTGTGTGTGTGTGTGTGTGTGTGTGTGTCGTGTTGTCTAACCAGCAGAAAGCTGCAATGGCACCTCCACCACCACCTCTGTGATATCATATGCTATGCTCCCCTGCACCAAACGTCGACCATTAACGTTTGCTAAGAAACCCTAATCACTTCTTTTGTCTCTTGACACTGAACCGTCTATGTAAATGATCAGTTCCTCTGAGCGAGCGTTATCTTGAATTAATTTGCTAAATTTTCATCTCCATGGCACCTGCTGGCCAATCTCTGCATTCCCGGCTCAGTGTGATTAGGACCCTACACAAGTGCGACAGAGATCAAATACATAATAGCCCAGATAGTTCTACTGGCAGCTCTGTAATCCTAATGGCAGCTCAGTGTATTGTGCATTAGGCTCAGTGATTTCAAAATACTTAACATCGGTCTCTGTCTGTCTGACTCCACCTGCATTAAAACATCAGTGCAGTTTAGAATACCCACTGTGAGGATGTGGCTTCTAAGTGTCTTTGACAACACCATTAGGCGAAGTTAGATGTTTTCCGGTTGTAAACTACAGTGACAATTACATGACTGAATCCTTTATAACTGAAGTACAATTCAACATCGATCAAACATGACAGCCTGTTTTTTTTTTTTTTAACCAAGGCAGCGGTAAAGACAGAACCATCTCTTTCTGTATACAGAGTTCCGGGCGCAGGTGACGAAAGCGAAATGTGCCAGGCAATAAATTGTGCATTCTTTTGTTTGTGTCTTATTTGTTCAAATTAAAATACGGATTTCATCTTCTTTCCTCTGACGTCACAACCTTTAACAATATATATAGATCCAGAAAGAAAGAAAAATACCAATAACTCGCATATAATTCTAGAACGAGGCAGTGGCCACAACAAGAGGCCAGGAATTATTCGTGTCTCCCATCCTGATCGATTCTCTACCGAACATTTATCATCGAGAGACTGTCATCGGCGGGCAGCAGTCGTGTCCCTTAGAGCTGTGTCCGTCGAAGCATCTGGCAAAATTCCCATAAGACTCGTAAATCTGAAACACGGAGAGGGATTACTTGTTTATTAGTGACGATGCTGCATAGTCCCAGTTCTAGGCTATTTGTGAGGGCAGCCTGTACATGTTTTCATGAGAAATAAAATACAAAAATGATACTTCAGATAATTGCAGTTTTATATAACAACAAAAAAAAAAAAAAAAAAAACAACAACAAAAAATAGCCAATAAATATATAAAAATGTACAAAGCTAGCACTGTAAATGCTTTGTCGGGATTTTGTAACTAAATATTAATACACAAAAAAGTAAATAACCATGGAGCTTACTAAATACATTTCACAATGAATCTCTTTGATCACTATATGTTTGGAAGTGAACGATGAAAATTCTAGCATTTTTTATATCTACATATATTGAAACAAACGATGACACAATGATGGAGGCACTAGTATTGAAACAAACGATGACACAATGATGGAGGCACTAGTATTGAAACAAACGATGACACAATGATGGAGGCACTAGTATTGAAACAAACGATGACACAATGATGGAGGCACTAGTATTGAAACAAACGATGACACAATGATGGAGGCACTAGTATTGAGCTAAAGATGAAATGACATCACTGCAGCTTATGCAAAGTGAATATATGACAACGTTTGGAATTATTATGGCGAACTTTATTAGAAGTAAAAAATGTAAGCAAGCAAAGGCTCAGAGTCATTTTGGCGGTTATCAGAGACTAGTTTTAAGTACACAAAATTAAACCCGCACTGATATACATACCCAGTGCGCGCACGCACACATATAGGATACTGTTAAATTCTGAGTAGTTATCATACATAAAATTGCTAGAGAAGATGATATCAAGTATACAGAAATAGATTGTAGTGCTCATAATAACTTGTCAAGTGGACTACATACCAGGCACTTTGTAAAGGTGACAGCGTAAACAAGACACCATGGAAGTCACACAGTGGTGGCGTTGTAATGCATATGTCTGCAACAGTATATGAATGGTTAAGTTATATGTTGATATATGGGACATTATAGCATTTTAATCACTTAAAAATAAACAGTAAGATTGATATTGAAAACAGACGGCCATCTCCTATCTGGTAAGAAAAGAATCACAGTGGACAATTGAACAAAAATGTTATCCTGTTGACTGTAAAAGCTGGAGAGAAAATACTTTAATATTGTATAATCAATATTGTTCAATACTTTTCGTAAAGTAATTCCCAGTATAATTAAACGGGTAATGCAGGTAGGCGCAAGAGGTCTCCCGGCTAACTCAACATGCAATGTACTGAAGCAACTGTGCTTGCAAGGGAGAAAAGCGTAAGCGGGCACTGAGGCAGTTGGGAGAAGCGAACGTAAGATGCTTTTAAGTCTCTCAAAGCTGACGTCTGCCCACAGGTTGATCGTGGTTGAGATCGAACGTCTGCCCCAGCACCGTCTGTCCTATCAACGTCTGTCCGATGAACCAACCGTGCATTTGCCACTCTAGCTCGTCTCAGTAGGCTTTTTATTTGCTACCATGCACTAGCCACCATAGCCATAATTTAGTACCTGTTGCAACAATGACGTGTCGTCTTGTCCTATCAAGTACAGCAGAAGTCCAAGGCCTGGGAGTCATGATCTGGGTCGGCCCGACCCCAGAGAGGGTTAAAGTGGTACACGGGCCGAAACAATTGTCGACTGGGGGACAACAATATGAAAACAATATATAAGAGCACAGAGTGTGCAGTACACACAGATGATGGGTTAGGTAAATGGTTTACATTTAAAACTGGGGTTGGGTTCATCTGGGTCAAGATTCAGCGTCACGTCATTCAAGAGTGGTCTAAATTTCACCGTCTCCGCAACAGCCAGTGAAGAATCTCCATACAGACGGCTCCCGTTGTCACCTGGTGAACTAATCTGGCCTGTCCGGGAGTCTCCAGTAGCGACCAGAGCCAGCTAGCCAGCACACTACATGCCGCATCATTTTTATCCAAGTAATCTTATCAAGCGAGAAAACCACTCTCAGCGCAAGACACCAGTTTCTATTTTCCCAATCATGATCTGCGAGTCAGTTATAATAACATGTTGATGCTAGAAGTGGTGACATTATAGACAGCAAATTCTAGTTCTAAACAGCTGCTTTACATTGAAGCCCTATCGCCTTTGTTATCTCACCACAAATCCATTTGAATATATAACATGACATGAAAGTCGCTTTTCTTTGAATGATGATGATAAATAAGCCGAGTACACTCACTATTTCTTTCTTGTAACAGCACTTCATTTTCAGCGATCAAAACAGTGTCATCGACATAAAGCAGTTCTAGTATGCTCATATATTCTTGGCATACCTTGTAAAGATCGCACTATTATTTCATTGTATAAACTGAACAGATCAGGTGATAGCACACAACTCCGCCTATTGCAGTGCTTAATCTGATCTATAAATAATCTGTTACTTGATTAATCTGATCTATAGTTGCCCTTGTCGCTGTCAAATCTGATGGGTGCTTTTTACATTGCCAATACATGTTTAGAAACAAATATTTTCAGATCGTCACCATGGCTCACATGCTAATAAAATTACTTATTTTCTTTATTAGAAAATGATTAAGTTCAGCGCAGATAAAGGACAGATACAGATCTGTGCTATTCTTTCTGTTAACGTTCTCAAGATGTTGACAGCATTGTTTCACATTTCACACACACTCACTGCTCATCCTTAATTCCATATCTTCTTTTATTTATTTCTCCTTGCGAGGACCACCACCGCCGTCGCCGCCACCACACCTATTGTACCCCTACTGCTATTACTACTACCACTGCTGCTACTGCTCATGCTGCTATTACTTCATTTTTCTGCTGTTGTTACTACAGCCGCTGACTGCCTGCCTGCAGCACCAGCAGCATCAACACAGACGTAATATAACTTGGAAGACATAAAATGAAACACAAAAAGCAGGAAAACATAACGAGAAGACCTGAAACTTACCCATCTCTGCCTAGAACCACATTGGTCTGGTTAGGTTTCTTCGGAGGTCGTATTATGGCGTAGCGATATGCTGCAAGTAGACAACAGTGACGTCATTGATAGGTGTTGCATGGCAAGACTGTTAGGGAATGGGGTGGAGGAGAAGGGGGGTTTAACTACCGACAGTATAATGGTTGCTGTAATATTATGATTACAATGAATATATGTATTTGTGAGTGGTTGTGAGGTGTAGGTAATCGTGATGACCCTGATTATATCTCAGCACAGTACACCAGTGTTGTTCAAGATCCGCACAGTACATCAGTGTTGTTCAAGATCCGCACAGTACACCAGTGTTGTTCAAGATCCGCACAGTACACCAGTGTTGTTCAAGATCCGCACAGTACACCAGTGTTGTTCAAGATCCGCACAGTACACCAGTGTTGTTCAAGATCCGCACAGTACATCAGTGTTGTTCAAGATGTAGGGAAGCTGAGCTGACCTTTCTAAACCCATCATTTATTGACATCATCATCATGTAGCAGGTCCTTTACAGAACGTCGCTCTCATCAGAGTCTGCCTGAAAGAAACTCAGTCTCTCGCCACTTCTCCCGCATCATGTACTTTCATACTCAAGCAGTCACTTATATCCTGTGCCCATCTTCGTGTCGGTCGGCCCCTGCCTCTCCCTCCTGGTACTATGCCTTCTGCATATAATTTTTTTCCAATCCGTCGTGGCGCTTGATATTACCAAAATATTTCAGCTCCCGAGACAGGATGCAGTTTATTAGCCAGTCTTCCTTGATGTTCAGATCTTTCAAGATGTCAGTATTTCTCCTCTTTTTCGTTCAAGATATTCTGAGAATCTTTTACAGACATGGGAAGAAAATGTCTGGAACAAAGATATATCTTTTAATTATGACTTAGCAATACACGTCAGAGTATTCAAACAAAGAAAAAAAAATCAGATTTTCGCCGTTTGCTTTTTATGTAGATGTTTATAACCTGTGAAGCTGAAGTGAGCTGACTTCAGAAATGACACATCAGCACATTCCCGTTGATGTTCCGGCCCCAACTTCAGCGATAAAAAAAAAAACAAAAAAACCACACACACAGTAAAGACCACTTTTCAGTAACATGAATCGCATGGCCTATTTGGTTCTTAGCCCATAGTTGTACAGATGCACCGGCACTCTGCTATGTGGTCAGTAGGTAATGTCACGTCATCAAAGGTAATGGTCGTATTGTGAATACGTAATGTCATGTGTTCAACATCTATTCCGCGCTATTTACATCACATAGATCTTTTTTAAAATTGGGGGGTGGGGGGGGGGTGTGGGTGGTCACATGTTCTGTGTCATTCTGTGAACCCTGGTCAATTGAAAGATATATCCCTAGATTCGAATAAAGAACGACGAGGCAGCTACGAAATTGCTATACAAAACTGTAACCTTAGAGGTAGGAATGATGGACAATGAATATACAATTTAAAGGGAAATTGAAGATTTCTATATGTTTTTTTATCAACAAACAGTGCGGTTTTCCTGGCGTGGGAGAAGAGATAAACAGACAAGTATAGAAACAAACGCTAACGAAAGCAGCCATTCAAATAATTTCAAGGTCAGATAATTAAAGTACCTGGGGGTTAAATAGGGAGAGGGTGAGTGTGTGAGTGACATACACACACACACACACACACACACACAGAGAGAGAGAGAGAGAGAGAGAGAGAGAGAGAGAGAGAGAGAGAGAGAGAGAGAGAGAGAGAGAGATCTTAATAAAAAGACTGTAAAGTACACTTTAGGTTAAGGACTTGCCGGAGGAAAATACTAATGGGTGCGGACAGACAACATTCAGTGATGACATAAAAAAAAAAAAAACGGTGTGAGTGCGAAATGAAAACACAGGACAAAAGGTGATAAAGCTTTAATGCCAAGATGGTACTTTATAATAATCGCTGTGTTATGGGTTGGTTTAAAGACTGATTTTATACAGTGTTTTAGCTGGTATTGCTTTAATATTAAGGCAGGGAATCAAGTGTATGAATAAATTCTCTACTTCCGTACCGTATTTATGGACATAAGGACCCTCATTGCGTTCATAAAGTTCATCTATAGAGCTCCTGCGTTTGCCTCGAATGTGACGACAGCAAGCGGCTGTGATCCCCAGCACTACAGCTGCTCCAAGGACGCTAGCTAGCACTCCCCAGTTCTCTCCCTGGAATGGCCAAAATCCAGCTGTAACATAGAACACTGAGAGCATAAACAACATGTTATTGGAAGATTTCTGTACCATACATCAAAGATGCAGTCAGATTCATATAACTGTCTTTGAAGACCTTTCTTAGTCTACATCGTTCATAGGCTGCCAACGGTGCTGACCTGTGGTCAACGTCAAACAATGGCTAAACAAAATCTTGATCTAACTAGACACACTGGGGACATTTTACAGAAAAGATTGTTAAAACAAGTTAACATGTTTAGAGCAGACTAATGTCTGGCCCACTACCCCGAGAGCAGGACAAGGGATGTTGATTGATGAAAGCCGTTTGATATATGTGTGTGTGTTGTAGGAGGAGGGTGCAAGAAAAAAAAGAGGGCACGGGGTGGAGAAAAGTGTTTCATGCTTTTCGGATTAGGAGTAAGTCATCACATAACAGTTATCCTTGTGCCTCTCTAAACGAGATGTTTTGAACAATAAGAGAACCTAAGTCAACCATGCATAATCATCATTATCAATACAACAATCATTGTTATTATCACACTGACTACAAGCTGATCTCGGATTGCGAGGTGGGGGGGGGGGGGTGGAGGGAATTATCGATTATATTGAAACAGTTCATGTTAGTAGGAATAGATCGTGTTATCTTAAAAATAATGTATTAGCGTGTGTGAACATAAACAGTGTAAGCAGAGGGAGTAGTAGTAGCAACAGCAGATGCAGCAACAACAGAAACAGCAGAAGTAGTAGCAACAGCAGTTGCAGCAACAACAGAAGCAGCAGAAGTAGTAGCAAGAGCAGACGCAGCAACAACAGAAAGAGGAGAAGTAGTAGCAACAGCAGTTGCAGCAACAACAACAGCAGCAGAAGTAGTAGCAACAGCAGATGCAGCAACAACAGAAGCAGCAGAAGTAGTAGCAACAGCAGATGCAGCAACAACAGAAACAGCAGAAATAGTAGCAACAGCAGATGCAGCAACAACGGAAACAGCAGAAGTAGTAGCAACAGTAGATGCAGCAACAACAGAAGCAGGAGAAGTAGTATAAATAGTACTATCAGAATTAATAATTGCACTGATAGTAGTATCAGTAGTAACAGTAATTGTAGTAACGTACTAGTTACGGTATTAGAGGTATGCATTAGTACTAGTAGCTGATTGTTACAGCACGGCTATTGTTGTAGTAATAGTAGCCTAGGTATTTTAGACACTCTATTGTAGTAATATTAGTAGTAGCTAATGTAATAATAACTATTGTAGAAATTATAGTACTCATATGGACGGCTTTGTAATGAAATTAGTGCAGTGTAGTGATGATGACTGATTGTAACCATCATCATAAATGCACATCCTCCTTTCCCCCATCCAACATTGGTAGGTAGGTAGGTAGGTAGTTGTACGCCAGCAGGACATCATACAAGCAATAAACACCCGGTGACACAAGTGCCACGATGCGGATTGTGATCACCTGTCTAGAGGTCCCAGAAACCCCTTTCAGCCGTTAGGCTGACTATGGCTAGGCCGTAGCCATCGACAATATACTAAAGTTTGGCCATGGCTAGGCCATATCCATATCCATGCCCCGGCTATACTGAGGATCCTTGACAGCAGCCAGGGTGGGGCTTCAAAAAAAAAAATTGTATCCCACGAGGGGATGACTGTAAAAAAAAAAAAAATCCAACATAGTCCCAATTATAGACGTATATTAAAGATGTATATCCTACTTTCCGAGATATTTCATCATTCCATTAGCTTTATATCACCAGACTTGGACATGCACAACTCTCGGTACACGTCCCAGGTATTCACCAGATATTTTGTTAACTCTCCGTACATGTCTTACAGAGTCCCAGGTATTGGCCAGACATTTTGTTAACTTTCAACAACACAAATAAACCAATAAATATCGGCAAAAGGCCACAAATATGAAACATTGAATATGTTGCTTGGCTGCTCACAGATTTTTACTCCCAGTAACGTGTAAAGAATAATTCGTTATTATTGTAAGTCGGTTCCTAACTACACCGAGTTCATGGGATATGCCGGTAAATGTTCTAAAAACCTGTAAAATATAAAACATGAGCCTTTTTTGCACCTGTATACATCATTCCATGACCATTGATAAACTAAAAATATTAATCCTCATTTCTTTATCTGCCAACAAAGCCAAATCGAGTTTCTGATATGTATGGTCGTATTGTATTTCTCACCCCTACATCATAATGCTATGGTGTAGTTTAACGACGAGACCCAATAATCTGAATGTTCTGTGTCTCGCCCACTCAGAGATTCGATGTGTTTTTACACTGTGATGAAAACAGATATGCGGATTTCAGGGGATTTCTCGGCTGTCTTGTATCGTTTTCAGGATCTTTGCTATTTCCGTTCTGCCAAGTTCACCAGGATATTACATATTTCAAGAGGCATATTGTCTAGTACGGATTTATGTACTTTTTCATTTTTTTGGGCGGTCACCGGTTTGAACTTCGTCTTTGCAATTGTGCAGTGGTATTTTATGTATATTGATTAATTGCATATGTTATCATCTAACAGTTGTCAGATATAATCTGATTATCTGATTATATTTCGTTCACGAAAATATAAACACCTGATTTCACTTGTATGTATGTAAGTAAGCTCATCTGATGTATTCATATACAGCTGTAACGTCTCTATAACTGGCTTGGGTCAATAGGGTACATCTGGGCAATGCTTGATGTAGCCGTTACAAGCGCCCTTCTCACTTCTTAGGAGGTTAAACAATGTGCCTAGCATTAGTCCTGTTCAAGCTGGTACTGAGAACGCGGTTCTTCGGGTTGTTTGGGTATAGTGCTGCCCGGAGAGGGAACTAGTAAATCATACATAGTTCTTTTTTAAACGTGCAAGGATTTATTATTTTTTTGTCAAATGTTTTTACTTGTTACATTGTTATTTAACTTTTTAAACCCAACTTCAATGCTTGTCTTAATTTTTTTTTTTCGAAACCGGTAAATGATTTTTTTTTCTTCAAACTAGGCTAGTGACAATCCAAAGCATTTGATTTACTTAAAAACATATTTCTCTTATATTTGAAACATGAATTTGGGTGCCAAAGCGACTCAGGTTAAAATGGGCATCAGTCAGAGAAATAAGGGCGGCTAGTGTAATGTTGACCACATTAGTCTATGAAACATGGGTATATGCGATGATGCTGGTTTCCATATCAGTCTCCCATCTGTCCCGATGGAAACTTAGTATGAACGGATGCACAGATATATTGACAACATCCAGCTGCTCGGTAATTATAGTTTATTGTTGTACAACCGAGGTGTCATCCAGTCGTTGTCTGTTCTCACTCGTCATATTCAGACTCTCTCACATTGTCACAGCTGGCACACAACTGAAAACGTCATTTGCCTTTCGGTCCAAACATTTCACATATGTTGAGATCTTGCATCTGAATCACTATGCCATGAAGATCCACATTCCCTCGACGATATACATCAGAATCAGTCTCCTTGCGCCATTTCCTTGCGTTCCATGTCTTTGTTGTGGTCTTAAGCAGTCACAGGTTTCTCAGTCACACCACGCAAACAACCTTTCTTCCCGTACAGACAAACACAAACTAACTTATCTCCTCTCTCACCTTCAAACCCTTGCTCTCATCTCAGGGGTTTCTCTTGCAATCATTTTTGCAATCTTTCACTTAGAAACGAAAAAAAAAAAACAAACTTGCCCCGTTTATCTCGCTTTCCTAGCATGTGCCCTAATTCGTCACACTGGGGAAACTCTGGGATCCAGGAAATTCCCATCATTTCAGTATATAATAGGATAATATACACAATACGCGTTAGGATGTTAAAAAAAGAACGTTTACTTTACTTTTGTCCAACACTACATCGTACTGCGGGTTGCTGAAAGGTAGTTCTCACTAGCCACTAATCTGCACCTCTAAGCATGTATCCGTGATAAACATCTGTCTTTCTTTCTACACCTATAATCTACAAGTTCAGACTCTTGCAAGTTAAATATCTATCTTCTTCGCTGCATTTATTTTTATATAAAAGATAAGTTGTTTAACTGTTTCCCCCTCCGGACTGCTTCTTTTAGGTTTGACCACCCCAAAGGCTACAAGAATGTCAAAGACTGCAAAACGATACATCAAATACCACATAACCTGTTTACACTCACCTTAATTTACCTTGAAACATTTTTTAGACACATTTTAATCAACACATTATATCTGATAAATTCAAGAAAGAACTATAAATAAGAGAGCTATCTGGACAACTGCTTGTATTAACAGCTATAAGACAATGAAGATGGTGCATATCATGAGAAGAAATGAACAGAGAATCAGCAAACAGGCACTGACAATGAACACAGATGAGGTAAGGAAACGAGGATATTTAAAAGAAACTTTCGGACGATCATTGCTGAGAAGGACCTAAGTAGTTGGATTCGATTCCATTAACAGTATCGAAAAAACTGTACAGGTTATAACCTTTTGGATGACTAGCCAGCGAGTCCTATGTGACGTATAACGGCACAACATGATAGTGATGATAGGTCCATATGTTTGTTTGTTGCGAAGAAAGCGTTTCAGTACGACCATCCCTGACTGGTTCTTGGGTTTATGCTTATTCTTGTCTGTTGCCTTTTTTTTTTAGACATATACACGATTTCCGTTGCTCAATAGTTCCAGTGTTTTCAAGTCAAGTTATTCGTTGATCAAACACGATTCACAGAATAGAGAAATCAAGAAATAACACAATGTAACATCAAACGTCGCATGGAAATTTCTGAAGCATCTGACGTCACACATGAAGGATTATCACATAAAAATCATCGACGAGGGCGTGATAGACAGGAGATCGCCAGCACTATGCACAAAGAACTCGATCGAATTGCCGCCTGGTGTGATGGTTCCAATGCCTATGTCAATCCTTCGAAGGCATCAGTGTCATGGTTCTCTTTGAACAATCACATTGTCAAGTCGGACTTACCAGAAGTGAAAATGCGTGATAATGCATTGATCAG